GCGAAGATCAGGGAAAAATACAAACCTTCCTTCTTCCAAAAATCCCAGAACAAAAGACAACGAAGACCAGAGCAAGGGGAAGAAAAGGAGGAATGGGCATACAGAAGAGGAAAAAGGGACAGACAAGTTCCATAGTAACAGATAATGAAAAAGAAAGGCAGCGGGAGATTAGAGAGGTCAATGCGTGGCTTAAGTCTTGGTGCAGGAAGGAGGGTTTTGGGTTTTTAGAGCACTGGGCTGACTTTGCGCTTGGGTACAACCTTTATAGTAGTGATGGATTGCACCTAAACGGGAGAGGGTCTGCAGTGCTGGGGGATAGGATGGCTAGAAGGTTGGAGGAGATTTTAAACTAGTAGTGGGGGGGAGGGTTATAGCAATCTACAAAATGGAGATAGGACAGAAAGGAGATGGGCTTTAGCTCAGTATAAGGGGGGTGGAGACGGGGGGAGGGGCAAGCTCAGAACAGAGAAGGTTTGCAATGTTGATAATTCACAAAAAGTACAAGTGACTCATGATAATATTAAATGTATGCTTACTAAAGAAAGGAGCCTAAATAACAAAATGGGGGAACTAGAGGCAGTACCATACACTAAACAGTATGATATAATAGGCATAACTGAAACATTGTGGGATGAGACACATGACTGGACAGTTAACTTAAATGGGTACATGCTATTTAGGAAGGATAGGAAAAACAAGAAGGGTGGTGTGGTATGTTTGTATGTCAGCCATAATTTAAAGCCGAATCTTAAGCAAGTGGAATGCGATGAGGAAAATGTGGAAGCTTTATGGGTAAATATCTGCTGGGGGGAAAAGAAGGGAAACCAACTATTGGTTGGGATATGTTAGAAACCACCTAATGTTAATATTGACGAGGAACAACAGCTATTTGAGAAAATTGAGAAACCTACATTAATTATTGGAGATTTTAATTAACCAGACATAAATTGGGACAGAGGGACTAGTAGCTCAGCAAAGGGAATTAGGTTTTTAAACTTGTTAAATGACACCTTCATGTCACAACTTGTACAAGCACCAACTAGAATGGACGCGTGTCTGGACCTGGTTCTAACAAACAACGTTGATCTTTTGACCAACATTCAAGTAGGTGAGCACTTGGGAAATAGTGATCACAATATAGTGTCCTTTGAAATAAACTCAAAAACACTAAAGCATATGGGGTATACTAAACCATATAATTTTAAAAAGGCCAATTTAAATAAGTTAAGGGCAGCTTTACAATATATTGACTGGCATAAACTCTTTAGTGAAAAGAAAACTGAGGATAAATGGATCATCTTCCAACAAATATTAGAAAGGTACATTTCTCAGTATGTACCATTGGGCAATAAATATAAAAGAAACAAATTAAAACCAATGTGGCTTAGTAGAGAAGTAAAACAAGAGATTAAAAATAAGAAAAGGGCATTTAAAGCATTTAAATCGGACAAATCAGATGCATCTTATAAAAGATATAAGGAAGCAAATAATGCGTGCAAAAAGGCGATTAGATTTGCTAAACTTCAAAATAAAAAATGATAGCTAAAGAGAGCAAAACCAACCCCCAAGCATTTTTTAAGTACATAAATTCTAAAAAAAAACAAAAATGAAAGTGTAGGTACACTAAAAACTGAAACGGGGGTGTTAGTTAATGAAAACCAGGAAAAGGCAGGAATTTTAAATAACTATTTTTCCTCTGTATATATTAAAGGACCACTACAGTGCCAGGAAAACATACTCGTGTTCTGGAAGGGGGAAAGGGGTAAAAGTTACCTTTTTCCAGCGCTGGGCGGGGAGCTCTCCTCCTCCGATCCTCCTCTTCTCCTCCCCGTCGGCTGAATGCGCACGCGCGGCAAGAGCTGCGCGCGCATTCAGCCGGTCACATAGGAAAGCATTCATAATGCTTTCCTATGGACGCTGGCGTGCTCTCACTATGAAAATCACAGTGAGAAGCACGCAAGCGCCTCTAGCGGCTGTCAATGAGACAGCCGCTAGAGGAAATAGGGGAAGGCTTAACCCATTCACAAACATAGCGGTTTCTCTGAAACTGCTATGTTTATGAAAAAATGGGTTAACCCTAGCTGGACCTGGCACCCAGACCACTTCATTAAGCTGAAGTGGTCTGGGTGCCTAGAGTGGTCCTTTAAGGAAGAACCCATGGCAATAGATGTGCAAATGATTGCTACTAAAAACGTGCAAAATAATTGTAATTGGTTAACTCAAGACAAGGTGCTGCAGCAACTAAAGAAACTTAATATAAACAAAGCTCCAGGGCTTGACGATATACATCCACGAGTACTTAAGGAACTAAGTGTAGAAATAAGTGAACCTCTGTTTTTAATCTTTCAAGATTCTTTTCTTTCAGGAAGTGTTCCAGAGGATTGGAGGAAGACAGATGTGGTTCCTATATTCAAAAAGGGTTCTAAATCATTGCCTGGAAATTATACACCTGTGAGCTTATCTTCTGTGGCTGGGAAAATATTTGAAAGGTTTTAAGGGATAATATTCAAGAATTCCTTGAGAAGAACATGGTTATCAGCAAAAATCAGCACGGTTTTATGAAGCACAGGTCATGTCAAACTAACTTGATTGCTTTCTACGAAGAAGTAAGTAGAAGTATAGATTAGGGTGTTGCAGTGGATGTGATCTATTTGGTTTTTGCCAAGGCATTTGATACAGTTCCACACAATAGATAAGTGTTCAAACTCAAGGAAATCGGTCTAGATGAAAATGCTTGTTCTTGGGTAGAACATTGGCTTAAAAACAGAGTACATAGAGCTGTCATTAATGGTACATTTTCAAGCTGGACAGAGGTGGCAAGTGGTGTCCCTCACGGGTCTGTTCTGGGACCCCTTCTATTTAACATGTTTATAAATGATCTTGAAGACAGCATTGAAAGTCATGTTTCAGTGTTTGCAGATGACACAAAACTGTAAAATATTACAATGTGAGCAAGATATTACTTTGCTGCAGAGGGATTTAGATAGACTGGGGGACTGGGCACTCAAATAGCAGATGAAATTTAATGTTGAAAAATGCAAAGTTATGCACTTCGGCGTAAAGAATACACAAGCAACGTATACCCTTAATGGAAGCGAATTAGGGATAACAACACACGAAAAGGACTTGGGAATTGTTATAGACAACAAATTATGCAACAATGTGCAATGTCAATCAGCAGTGGCCAAGGCCAGTAAGGTATTGTCATGCATGAAAAAGGGCATTCATTCATTGCCTCTTTATAAATCACTGGTAAGACCACATATTGAATATGCTGTGCAATTTTGGGCACCTGTTCTAAAGAAGGATATTATGGCACTAGAAAAAAGTGCAGGGGCAGCTACAAAATTAATAAAAGGAATGGAACATATCAGCTATGAAGAAAGGTTAACAAATTTAAACCTATTTAGTTTAGAAAAAAAACGTCGCCTGAGAGGGGATATGATAACATTATACAAATATATTTGGGGTCAATACAAACTATTGTGTGGAAATCTATTCACAAACCGGACTTTACATAGGACACAAGGTCATGCGTTTAGACTGTGTAACACTTATTTTAATTGGAACTCAACTGCAGAATTTTCTAATTGCAGTAACTATTAGTTTCACCTCCTTTTATATTGAAATGAAGAAGTAGTTACTGTCACTTTAATTACACATGTAGGATGTTAATTGTGAGTAAAGTATAAGAATCTGTTGATTTGCACAAGCCACTTAATTCCTTATTTTTGGAAATAATGCAGAGTTAGATTCCAGATTAATTTAAGAAGGAATTTTTATAATAAAGACTATTAATGAAGCAGGAAAAGTTGTAATTATAATTGACTTGGTTATTGGAGGAAGAGTTAGCGTTATTAGCAGATCCTTATGAATAAGGAGAATAAATTGAGAGAATGACACAGTTAACTGTCTATGATTTGTAACAGAGAGTGGCTTGATTGGAGAAAAGTTACTTAACTTAAAAGGCAGTTTCTGGAACTGAAGGGTTAATTTCACCCGATGGGTTGAGAAGGTAGAAGTCCGTTTAGCAAGCCGTGGTCTAGGAGTGGAGAGGGTGGAAGTCCGTTTTAGCAAGCCGGGTCTGGGAGTGGAGAAGGTAGGAGTCCATTTTAACAAGCCGGGTCTGGGAGTGGAGAAGGTAGGAGTCCGTTTTAGTGAGCCGAGGTAAGGAGTGGAGAAGGTAGAAGTCCGTTTTTTAGCAAGCCGAGGTCTGATACAGGCAGGAACGGGGTAAAGCAGCTGATCACTTTTTCAGGTACCTGTGCAATAATCCAGCGTTCTGAATCTGGCGCGGTCTTCCTAAGTATTGTGGAAGGACCGTGTCAGAGAAAGGGGCGGGGCTAAGCGCCGTGAACCCAGAAGTGGGTTCTTACGGCGAATGCATGTCAGGCTATACCTGACAGACTGGAAGAAAGAAGATTTCGTCTAAGGCAAAGGAAAGGTTTTTTTACTGTAAGAACAATATGGATGTGGAATTCTCTGCCTGAAGAAGTGTTTTTTTCAGAGTCCAGTAGATGTTCAAACAGCTACTAGATGCGTACTTGCAAAAACAGAATATTCAAGGATATAATCTTTCAATGTAGGGTAATAACTGCTTGATCCAAGGATAACTCTGACTGCCATTCTGGGGTCAAGAAGGAATTTTTTTCCTAGCTTGTTGCAAAATTGGAAGTGTTTCAAACTGGTTTTTTTTTGCCTTCTTTTGGATCAACAGCAAAAAACTAATGTGTGGGAGGCTGAACTTGATGGACGCAAGTCTCTTTTCAGCTATGTAACTATGTAACTATGTAACAAAAAGCAGGGATTTTTAACCTAACCCCATGTCCTAAATTGTCCCCAAAGAAAACTTTTGCAGAAAGGTTTAAAATTTGCCCACACAAAAACCCCAAATAAGTTTGAAATGTATGTTGATTAGTGATGTCGCGAACCGTTCGTGAACTTCCCGTGAACGGCTCGCCGCGGTTCGCCACGAACCGTTCTCGGCGATCTCCGGTCAGCTGACACATCCCGGCCAAACTCCAGCAGACCCTCCCTCCCAGACCCTCCCACCTCCTGGACAGCATCCAGGAGGTGCCTTCAACATGGATGCTGTCCAGGAGGTGGGAGGGTCTGGGAGGGAGGGTCTGCTGGAGATTGGCCGGGATGTGTCAGCTGACCGGAGCTCGCCGCGAACGGTTCGTGGTGAACCGTGGCGAGCCGTTCGCGGGAAGTTCGCGAACGGTTCGCGGGAAGTTTGCGAACGTTTCGCGACATCACTAATGTTGATTTGAATGCATTTTAAAAAAATATTTGTCTTAAACTTTTTCAAAAAAATGCTATAGAGATAAACATAACAAAGAATAATGAATATATTCACACTTCATTAAAGGACCACTATAGTGCCAGGAAAACATACTCGTTTTCCTGGCACAATAGTGCCCTGAGGGTGCCCCCACTCCCGCCCGGCTCTGGAAAGGGGAAAGGGGTTAAAGCTTACCTTTTTCCAGCGCTGGGCGGGGAGCTCTCCTCCTCCGATCCTCCTCCTCTCCGCCCATTCAGCTGAATGCACACGCGCGGCAAGAGCTGCGCGCGCATTCAGCCGGTCGCATAGGAAAGCATTTACATAGGAATCACGCAAGCGCATCTAGCGGCAGTCTCATTGAGGCTTTGGAGGAATGCTTAACCCATTCATAAACATAGCAGTTTCTCTGAAACTGCTATGTTCATAAAAAAATGGGTTAACCCTAGCTGGACCTGGCACCCAGACCACTTCATTAAGCTGAAGTGGTCTGGGTGCCTAGAGTGGTCCTTTAAAAGAAAAGTCAACCTTTTTTCCGAGGAATTTATTCTTGGGAGAAATGA